GTCAAGCTGATGTCATCAGAGAAGGAACGTCTTTCCAGAGTGGAAGTACATTTTCAGATTTTTTTATTATGGATTAACTTCAGCATGAATGAACTGATCACCACAATACTAGTAATGTGTCGATTTTGATGTCATGAGAACTTTAAGCTTCTCATGTCATTTGTCGACAACAGCCAGTTTACAAACGTTTCTCATTAGAAGTTTGTGAAGATGGTTGTGTCACATGTTATACGAGACCCAAACTCAGAGCAAAGACACTAAAACACTGAATTGTGAGCGTGTAAAAGAACTTTATTCTAAAACACGCAGCACATATATTTACCCAAGCATCTCTATAATAATTTACATTTAATACTTATTATAAAACGGTTAGTTCGAATCCTTGATTCTGTTTGGTCAAGAGCTGTGCTTTATTCACGATAAAACACGATAAATGACCGCTTCACCCAACGGTTCTATTGATCGCTCCGCAACACAGCGGTTCTATGTTGTTTTTATTTGAGCTTTCATGCATTTTACACATTGGAACGTTGTTGCTGTTCACGCTCAGGGACTATTTTTTCTAGCGGAAGGAAGACTTTTAGTGATTTTACTTCAAGAAAGTTGCACTTATACATTGTTTTTTACTTTAAAATTCTGTGGAAACCGTTTTATAAAAACTTCGCGTTGTGCCTAACAACGCCCTTCAGCCGTTACTTATTCACGATACAGCACAGCCTCTCGTACCTTATTGCTTACGTATACTTTTCCTATCCCAGCTTGCAATATGCACAACCATTTATAAACCAAACAAACTGATTGTAGAAAGATTAACCCAAATACAAGTTTTTTGAGTAATCTGACAGTACCATTGGAACAAACAATGGCGTGACTATCTGTTTGTAAGAGAATTTAATTGAACAATGCTAGTGGCCCGGAAATTACCCTTCATCTTTAACTTTCAACACTTTTTGTACGCCAGACAGACTTGGTGTGAAGTCATGCCATTCCTTTCTCTCTACTCCATTTGTTCCATGTTTTCAGATGAATGAGGTATGTATGATTGTATCTGTTACCATCATAACAACCTGTCTCCATGGTAACAGGAGAGGGCGGGGCTCAAACAGCTGAGAGACAAGCACTGAGCCAGTGGTTTGTGTCATATACATGGCAAGTCACCCCGGCATTCCCCTTTCTGCTGATAATTCAATGGAGAATATCTTCAGCTAATGTTGGACTTTAAATGGTAAATGGACTGCGTTTATATAGCGCTTTCACAGACCCAATGGCCACCAAAGCACTTTACAAGGCGCCATCCAGCTAGTCAGGAGCAGCTGGGGTTAGGTGTCCTGCTCATGGACACCTCGACACGTGGTCAGGTGGAACCGGGGATTGTGCACACCGCTTACCTGTGTTGACATAACCTCTGAAGCGATCATTCAGCCGATCCACGAACGCGCTGACAATATCGATCCCCATCAATGCAACCTGACACCAAACAAGAAAGAGACAAATCAGCTGAAAACGTCAAACTCACATTTCCTCTCACCAAGGCATTTTCAAACACATGATTCTGCTGATTCAGGATCTGACACAGAGCTTTGCGTCATTGTGCACTATGTCTTTAAGAATGCCTGTTGTTATTGTGTGTGAGTGGGAGAATGAAAATAAGATTGTGAGAGGCACTATATTTGAGGATTGCGGTGAGATCGCTGCAGTGTGTTTCTTGGCAATGCAGGATGGAAGTTCACATTCCACAGAAACAATCAAATATTCACTACATCCCAGAAGCTCCAGTTATGACCTATTTTAGGCAAAGCATCCAGAGAGAGTCCTGAGTAAAGACAACAGAGAGTGTGTGTGTGTGTGTGTGTGTGTGTGTGTGTGAGCACCTGAAATGCAAAACAGGAGAACACATGGTAATTTCATTTTGAAAATAATTTAAATGTGTTTCAATTGGCCAGCGTTCATCTATTCTACACACTTAGCAATGGGGTCAGCCACACTTTATGGATTAACCTCATTTCTTCAAGTTAATTCAATTAGTAAGCATTTCTGGTTTCTTCCTTGTGTGACAAGTCCATTCTTTAAGATGCGCTGATTTTCTGCTCAAGAAACATATCTTATCAATGTGAAACCCGTTATGCTGCTTTATTTTTTTCAGGACGATTATATTAATAGAAAGTTTAAAAAACAAGCATTTTTTTTTACATAATTATTTTGTAACATTATAAATTCTTCACTGTAATGCATCCTTGCTAAATAAAAACATTGCTAATTAAAACTAACTGCCACAAAACTTTTGAATGTAATTGAATAAAAAAAATATATATATTAAAAAGAATAAAAATTATTCACAAAAATATTTTAGCGGTCTACCAGATCTTCAACCAGTGGGACTGAGAATTTGACACCCTGTATTTATCAAACCACATATATTTCTAGAAGCCTGCAGCAGCTGTGTCTCCAATTTATGAATCACCGCCATCATTTCTAAAACCCAACCTCATTGAGTCTGATGTCATAGCCATCCATTAACATTCGTCCCTGAAGACTTGAACCATCAGCTGTCTGATGCTGCTTTTAAAGCATCCGTTCCCTACTTAATCAGTTTCCTTTCACACAAACAGAAATGGGAAATAAAGCAGAAGTGACCATTTTTTAATATTAGCAGCAGTATTAACCAGCATAAAAGCTTCTGCTTGCATGCCCAGGCCAAACTTGACAAGCAAGCACCATCAAACAGCTTTTCTTAATCAATATCACACACAAACAAGCATATAAAAGGATGAATCATATGCATTGCAGACAGTGACATGTGCCTTTTAGCCTCAGCGTAACAATACCCACGCAACCCTCCCCCAACCCCACAACACCCCCACTCTGTCATAGACACAAATGAATATGTAATGTATGCACATTGATAATGCATCATTTGAGCAGACTGAAGCCTCTCAAGAACAAACTCCTGTATTTTTCTGTCAGTTTGATGCACAACAAGCCTAATGCAATTGGTGATATACATGCAATAATAGATTATATGAGAATAAAAGACTTGAGACAGTCACTCTAGATTAGAACAATGCATGCATCCTTCATAACATCATCATACAACCCATCTGGCTAAACACACATTCATTTATATGCACCCCACAAAGCAGGTCACAAGCCAGGTAAGTTACCTTGTAATTGCTGGAATTGACCCATCCCGTCAGCTCATCTATGGTTTTATCGAGGCGGGGTTTGTCCTGCTCCACGTCCATGGACCTCTGCGGGTCGCTCAGGTAGTCTATGAGATCCGGGCCAACCTGCAGCCTCCGGGTCACGTCCTTCTGCAAAACCTGCTGGTAAAAATAGTCCATGTTGTCATTGTCCTCCATCGGGACGCTTTGTGGTCGGTCCTCAGGTTGCGGCGAAACAATAACAACGACAGAATGACTGTCAGAGTCGCGTTAATAACGCGAGGAACTGAAATGTGGACAAAGCGGAAGTCAAACACTGGTTTTAAAGACACTTAGAGGTCTGTTGTTGTTAGTGCATTAATGATGAAGTAACGGAAAATAAACAACTTCAACAAAGTTCCCCAAGAACGAAATGGTTGATCCTCCGAAAAAAAGTGTATTTTTACTAAACAATAAAGCGATGTGAAAAGAAATAGGCGGCGAGGCGCGTATAAAAACAGTGGCAATGTATCCGACCAGTCTCGGCTAACACTGTTAGCTTTAACCGTTATGGTCGAGTATCCTGGGGCCTCCCGCCGGGGCTCTCTTCCCTCCCGGACACCATTTCAGAACAGCCCGCTTCAAATCGCTCGTGGAGATGAGTGGATGAGCCGCCGGTCCGTCCACTGCTCTCACAGCTCTCGTGTTCGCACTTAATCCAGAAATAATCCGCAGTTTGACAGCTGCCTTCCGAGCTCAAGACTCTCGCTTCGACCACGGCTACTGGAGCGCCGGTAGCCGCAATAGTATACTGGAGTGTTGAACAGTAGCAAACGATGCCGAGGAAGAGTGATTGAGCCGAGTATGGAGACGAGGCCTTGGGGTCCTTCAACGCCGCACAGTTGTCCAGCACGATGCCTGAATAAAAATATCCTCATTCTGTAGGATGAGGATAGGATATTTCTGTACACAATTTATTATTCATAATCGGAGACTGTGTGCAGTATGGCAGGATAGAAAAAGTACGTTTATTATATAGTATCAAGAGAGACACTATACATATTTATTATTATTAGTCATTATTGGTTGTGGTTGTTGTTGTTGGTGGTGATTCTATTTATTCCAGCGTGTTGACATTTGTATGGTATTAATGACTGAATAAATTGTTGAAGATTTGAATATTACTAGATTATTATTATTTCTTAATAACATACCTCGTATCATTATAGTATCATATCATAAACACAAACATACACTTGTTTCAAAGAACCATTTTGTGCATTTATAAGCACCAAGCAGATTATACTTGCTTTTGTTTTGAATAATGTACACACACGCGCTTGTATTTATTTTCACCATGGTCTTCCATTCATTGCTTTTTATTGGTCTTCGTCTCCCTCTAGTGGCACTTGAATGTTTTTCAAACTCAAATGTTTGTGCTTGTACATAGTGTGTGTGTGTGTGTGTGTGTGTGTGTGTGTGTATATACTAAAATTACCTTCTTTATAGAGTACAGCGTACTAAAACAAATTTGGTGGTGATGCATGCCACATTAACAGATTTACATTTGTAGAGTCTATATTATAATGCAATTCAAAATACATTTTGAATTGAGACCCTAATTGATGCTTGTTTTTTTCATATATGCCTACACTAGAGGACACGTGGTGGTCTCTAGGACTATCCATATTACATTACCATGCATTAGTGCATTAGTTTTAGTTTCAGGTCATTATTAAGTGTGTTTATGTGTTAAAATCCAAAATGATTGATCATGCGTTATTATAACCACAGGTTAAAAAATAATAATAATAATAATTTACATCAACTATGAATGGTGTATATGAAACCAATCTGAAATGTGACACACTGCTCAGATCTTTTATTTAAAGAAATGTCACATTAACAACCAGAACACAAGGACATTCAGGTAACTTGTTTCATCTTTGTCAAAAAAATATGGGAGAAAAGGAGGGGAACCGATTAGCTGTTACAGAACAACAAAAAATAAAAATAAAAATAACAAATCACTTTCTTTGACAGGTTTAGCATTGCCTTCTAAAGTGGTTCCATGGTTGAGATAAAGAATACTGGAATCACTGGTGTATGCATTGATATAATGACATCATCATATCCAATGGTAAAAAAACAGCTAAATATGGGTAAATACAAGAGAAAAAAATGTGATGAACTTCACGGCAGCCCTGAGTCGAGCATTTCTGTGTGTAACCCACCCCTCCCTCTAGTTGCAAAATCAAAGGCACTCACACCGACAAAAAAAAACCCTTTTCCATTGACTACATGATCAACTCAGCAGCTGTTTTCATCAGCAAGACTCATGTTTTTAAATATGCAATGTTACGCAACTCCCTGTTGAACAGTATTATGCACAAGATGGTTCACCCAAAAATATCATTCACTTTGTACCAAAAGCCACATTTCTTTATCCTGCAAAACACAAAAGGAAATTTCAGATAGAATGAAACTCATTTTCATTGCATCTTGATCCATACAATGAAAGTGTATGTTGACAGAGACTAATATTTTGTGCTGCACACACAAAAAAAGTCAGGTTTTTGAAGCAAAATGAGGGTGAGCAGATAACAGACACTAACATTTTGGCTGAACTGTCCATTTAAATCAAGATTGCATGGGTTAAGTTTGATATATTTGCCTTGACGTATTCCAACTGTTGATTTTTGCATCATATTATGCTCAAATCTGATGTAGATCAACATGAAAATACAGTCATCATTTACTCATCCTCATGTTGTTTCGAACTGTGAACTACAACAGACAGAGAATGTTTAGCAGAAAGGGGTCCAAACGCAGAGACATTTTTCAAAATAGCTTAAATGATGACAGAATTTTTTATTTTGGGTGGACTTTCCCTTTAATGACATGAAAAGTGAAGTGAAGTGAAGTGAAGTGAAGTAAATGAAGTGATTGAGAATACTAAGGAAATGCCTGAATAAGGAGTGTTCTTCTAAATCCTGTCACATGGCCTGGGCTTTCAATATTGCACTGAAACATTGTGAAACTAAAATATCCCCCCCAACCTTAGCACATGTTGTCTAAATTTGAACATTCACATCAATTGTGACGTACTTGTAACTCCACAACTGGAGCAAAATCGACTTTATCTTGCATGCACAATCTCAGTCGTTCTCTTCCCCTCGTCTGCTCACATGATTTCAACTGTGATTTTTTTTCGTCCTCTCCAAATTACGGTAAGCACAAACAGAAAATAAAAACCATTGTACTCCAGTTTTTATGTGGGTTGATTTGTTGTAGTGTTATATTTCATTTTCTATATTTAACATTCTCACACACACACACGCGCGCGCAAAACCAGACAGAGACGCTCAAAGTTTCCACCTCTCAGGTTTGAGAAAGTCACATGATCAATCGGCGGGAGGCGTATCCTACAAAACTCCAGAGAATTCCATCCTGCTGCTCGTTTTCTGTTTTTTTCTATTTGTTCTCAGCGTAATAGAATGCAATCCTATTGGTTGAGGAAGAGGAGCAGGACGTAAACACTGTGTAGTCGTCGAAACGGCATCAAAATGCCTCAAACAAAATTCCTTCTATATTTAGTAGTTCCATAATGCTTTAAGTATTTCGTTTTCTATATATCCAAAAATGAAATATTTTACATGGTAGCTCCTTGATTTTTCTCCTTGTACATCCAGGTAAGTGGTATTGTATGTACGTAGTATTTGTCACGTTGCATTGTATTTATTTTGCGTTTTTTTGTTCAGGTCAATCACGCTGCCAGGCAAACGCTCGTTGAACAAGCCATGCCTCCTGTAGCCACAACCCCACACAGCGCCTCATAGTGGTGTGGAGCAGGGGCAGGGAGGAGTTTACAGCTTGACTGACAGCTTGACTTTCTATGGCGTCTCCCAGAGGCTCCTCCTTCTGTCAGAGTATGACGCAGCAGCGGCAGAGACGCTGGCCTCCTCCGTGGACTGATGGAGGTGGTGTGACCGGGGCGAAGTAAGCGTGGACTTTGATCTCGGGAAGGTGAGCCTACAGGAGAAACAACCGCAGAGTCAGCCACAATGCAGAATGTGACATCATAACAACAACTAGATCAAGCAATTTTTTCTCTACAAAGTGAAAAAAATAAAAACAAATCTACAGCCAATCAGAATGTTTGATGAAAAGCTATGTGGACCAATGGGTTTTGTTTGGGTGGGGCTATTGACAAAAATAGAAGCCAAATAATGACCATAATGCCCTATTGCTTGTGACGTTGGTTAGGACCAAAACTCAAATTTAACAGATTTTAATTGCAAGTCACACTGACATGTGTAGAGTAACACACACATTGGATTTAATCGTTGAAGCTATAGCCTGTTGCTTTACACAGCATACCACGAACATTGAGTCTCATTCATGAAACATTCGTAAATATACGAGTTAATAAGTGAGTGATTTGCGCGTAAAGAGACCTTCCTGAAAACTCTTCTCCTGATTCACAAATACTTAAACGTCAGATGAGCACACAAAAGCATTACTTAGCATATTAACCAGATTAGCGTGCTAATGTAGTCAGCATAAGACAACAAACAGGCACGGTAGTGAATATCAAAAATACGTTCAGTCGTTTTTTTGCAGCTTAGTCCAAAATTCTTCCGATCAGATTTTGGACAAAATTTGTAGGAAGATTCGCATTTTTCATTTACATCGGAGAAGCGGACAGGCAAATTGATGGAAAATTAAAAATAAGATCTCACCAGAAGATATTGGTATAAACCAAGGAACAATGACACAATATTACATGAATAATATTTTCAAAAGTTGTTTTCCTACTGCAGGAAATGCTGCTGATGATACCTACCGAATTTTGTTGCTGATATGTCAAATTGTTTAAAATATATTGTAATTCATGGCAAAATTTCAAAAAGATGGTTCGTCCGATCCTAGCAAAATCAGTGTCTATGTTTTCGGCACGACACAAGGAATCCATATCATGATTTTCTGACAAACTGATCAAAAGTTATTAGCAAAAATAGCAATTTTTCAGATCTCATGACCCGTAGGTGACGCTGTTCCCAAATTTGGTATGGACCCTTAGAACATGGTGTTGATTAGGTCTACCGAATTTCATTTTGATTGATCAAACTTTGGCCGAGATACAGACTCAATGAATCAATTTTGGGTCGACACTGTTAAGCTCGCAAAATTGTACAAAGATGATCAGTGCAAAGTGTCGTAAGAATTTAAAGGAGTAGAAGCAAAAAAAACTAAAAACTGTACTTTTCAAAATGGCCACTACTGTAATGAGTCATGACGAGAGTAATCGGGTTCTAGATGAAAGGGTTCAAAATTTATAACAGTTTCAAATGTTAAACTGGTGATGGCGCTATAGAGTTGGTCCTAGAGACCCCAAAGTTGTTCAGATTACTATTTATTATCATCACTACAAGTGTGCCAATTTTCATAATTTTCCTACATATGGTTAATCTACAGGTAGATTGTATGAAACATTTGATGAAACAGACCAGTTTACCCCAATGACACTGTAACCATGGACAAATTAATTCAGGCCCATTTTTGACATGCTTGTTAAGAGATACTACAGAAAGAAAATGCTTTTTGTGATTGATTCAGGCACTCAGGCCACCTCTAGCTTTTACACACTGTAGTTGTGTTGCATGCACTGCAAACTCACACTGCACATTTGAATTCTGCAAATTAATCATTTTAGCCTGTCCATGGTTATAGTTAAGACTAACGTGGGAGTTGTGAGTGTGACATATGTAGCTATTGTTTTTGACCGACCCGGATTCGTTTGATGCCTGCGCGGGAGACCTGCTGGCAGTCATAGAGCTCAATGCGTTCTAGACGCTGGCAACTCTTGAGATGTTCCAGTGTAATGTCTGTGATCAAGGGGCAGTTGTCCAACTCCACGACCTGCAGACGCTCCTGACCACACACACTGCTGCTCAGATGTCTGATCCCGTCGTCTGTTATCAACTCACAGTGTGACAGGCTCTACAAAACACACCCACACACACGTAGAAGTGAGCAGACGAAAACAAATGTGCTCTATAATTCCTTTACAGAAAGCCATAAATAACAAGCATGGAAGCAATACTCCCACACACACTCTCTCTAACACTGCTTTGCACTCACCAGCGCCTGCAGACGAGGGCAGTGGATTGAGAGCTGAACCAGAGTGTTATCAGTCACCTGAATGGGACGTACAGACACAGAACATTAATTTTAGCATGGATAAATTGCTGCAAGGAAACAGACACAGCTCAAAAAACAGTAAAAAGAAAAACCTCAGAGTTTCTTTGAAACTGCACACGTTAAACGATAATAAATCAAACCAATGGATAAACAGCATTGTTTTAAAACCAGTCAATGAGAAACCATGCATTTGAGTGCAACATTTTTATGTTTTTTATATACACTACTGTTCAAATATTTAGGGTCATTCTTTTAAAGAAATCAATACTTTTATCAGCATGGATGAATTAAATAATGTTATAAAATATATATATGTTTAATAAATGCTGTTTTTTTTAACTGTCTATTAATCAAAGAATACAGCACTGTTTACATTAAAAAATAAAGCGGCACAAATGTTTTCAACATTGATAATAATCAGAATCAAATGTTTCTTGAGCAGAAAATCAGAATATTAGAGTGATTTCTGAAGGATCATGTGACCCTGACGACTGGAGTGATGATGCTGAAAATTCAGCTTTGCCATCAAGGGAATAAATTACACTTTAATACATACTGAAAAGAAAACAGTTTTTAAACTATAATAATATTTCACAATATTAATATATTTTAATCAAATATTTGTAGCCTTGGTGATTATATTAGCAGCCAGAATAACTATATAGCACATTATATAATATAATACCAACAAAAATATATATATTTTACCACAAAAGTGAAACATATATAAAACAGCTTTTCTGAATTATGGATTTAATATAAACTCACCAAAATACATTCCTCTAAATCCATCTTCTCCATTTCATGACAATTCTAAAACAGAAGGAATAATTTGTTTGATAATCCTGTCATCAGCTCAAAGCATGCTCTCCGAATCCATGCGTTCATGTTTTGGGGTGTTTGTGTGATTACTCACTCTGGCAAGAACAGTGAAACCAGCATCAGTCACATGTGAGCAGCGAGCAGCCTCCAGGATCCTGAGGAAAACACAAGCAATGAGAATGAATGACTGTGTGTGTGTGTGTGTGTGTGTGTGTGTGCTGATCTGCGTACAAATGAAGAAAGCTTTACTTGAGCCGTTGGCAGTTGAGGCCGAGGGCAGTCAGAGAAGCGTCAGTGATGTTGCTGCATCCAGACACACAGACCATCTGCAGTTTGTGACAACCCCGGCACAAACTCACAAAGCCGTCATCTGTGATTTGCTGCAAGATGGATAAACCGTGTTAGGGTTCTAATGTGTATTGTGAATTTGTGCAATTATTAACTCCAGTATTGTAACAAGTCTTACGGTGCATGATTGCATGTTGATTGTCATGAGCTCAGGACAGTGCTTTTGAAGGTGCTTCAGTGCAGCATCGTCAAGCTGAAATGACATATTTAAAGTCACCATGAAATCAAAACTGACCATTCTTGTTTTTTTATGAAATATAACAGTATTTATTATAATACAATGATTTATCTTTTTCTTTATCATTCATGTGCCTCATTTTCTTTCATCGCAATTACTTCCCCTCCCTCTTGCAGAGACATCTCTTTTCTTCTCTGATGATGTGTTTAGTGGCGCAAGGGCGGGGCAACCTGTCACTCACATGAGATTCACCAATAGAAAACCACAACCATCTGATCAATTCCCAATCAATTCTTGATTTTGAGCCAAGGACAAAATCAAGCTCCACCCTATATTTTTTCACTCGGATATACATCACAATTGACCTATGGCTAAGCCACGCCCCCGCCACTCACTCGGAGAAACAGTCATCATTCTGTCAACATCCATGAGACACATGCCTTTGGTGTGAGAGACCCGGGTTCGCATCCACTGTGAAACACCAATGTGTCCCTGAGCAAGACACTTAACCCCTAGTGTCTCCAGAGGTGTGCAACATCTGACATATACTGTATAGCAATTGTAAGTTGCTTTGGATAAAAGCATCAGCTAAATGAATAAATGCAAATGTAAACATTCAGATTTTTGGAGACTGAAAGATTAAATATCATCTCGAGGTCACCTAAAGGGCCTTAACTATGCATTGGAGGGTTATATTAATACATTTATTGTTGAGAAGGTTTATGAAAAGCTTCAGCTCCTGGCAAAAATGTACAGGTCACAGTGGAAACGTGATAAACCACATATCGTTGCCATCACCGTTTGGTGCTACAGTATTTACATGAATCATTCAGCACAACATTGTTAACATTTGTTATCTCGGTTATTTACAGCTACGTTAATGAAGCTAAGTGACATGATGTACAACGCAGCTAGAAGCTGACATTAACGTTTTCTAATGTTAGCCTAACATTACATTAGAGATTTTAAAGATAACGTTCGAATGCGTTGTTGACTTAAGTTAGAACAAATGTAGACATCCTTATTTAATTTATCCACATTTAGTCGGTTGTGGTCTACCGCATAACTTAATCCAGAGCAGACACTTATCTCGGTTGAGATGTGGCTTGGGAAAGGATAAAAAAAACACACCCAACCTCGCCCAACCTCTCGGGAACCTAGTGTCGGAGCTGCATGTACCCCAAGCACACCGTTTGACCATTTTAAACTTAAAATGACAGAAAAAAACGAATGAAAACTGACTAACTGCAATGCATTTCAATGGACGTGGAAGCAGAGAATGTCCGAGTGTATTGGATTAGCTGCGCACTGTGATTGGCTCATCGTGTTTGAGGGCGTGGCTTAGCCATTGGTCAATTGGGAAGAAATTTCCATTTCATGCGACTAACAATTATCATGTGTTTATATATATATATATATATATATACAAACATACATACATATGTGTGTGTGTACCTGTGTGCAACCTCTCAGAAACAGAGCTCTGAGAGCTGTGCAGCCACGGCTGAGAGCCTCGATGCCATCACTCATGATCTGATCACACCAGGACAGGTTCAGATTCTCCAACATACGACAGCCCTCACTAGAAGACAGAAAGAGCAAATGAAGAGGGTAAGAAGCAACCAAAAATTTAAAAATTAACTCAAACACCACTGCACTATCCAAACACACAAAGAAACCAAAATGTACACTACTGTTCAAAAGTTTGGGGTCGCTAAGATTCTTTCTTTTTCTTTCTGACAGTAAAGATGTTTGTAATGTTACACGAAAAGTATATTTCAAATGAATGCTGTTCTTAGTTTCTATAAACTTTTTATTCATCATAGGATCCTTAAAAGAAATGTGTCATGGTTTCACAATCACAGCACATCTCAATATTGATAATAATAATTAAAAAAAATAATCTTTAGCAGCATATTAGAATGATTTCTGAAAGATCAAATGTCATGCTGATAATTCTGCTTTATATCACAGGAATAAATTACATTTTAAAATATACAGAAATAAATAAGAGTTATTTTAAATTGTAATAATATTTCAAAATATTACTGTATTTTTTTTAATCAAATTAATGCAGCCTTGGTGAGTGACTTTCAATAACATTTACAAAATCTTACCTTCCCGAAACTTTTGACCGGTAGTACAGTAATTTAAAAGATGAATAAACTTTAACAGCTAACCAATAGAACAAAAAAAATTAAATACATTTTAAAAAGGCATAATAAACCCTTTTGAGGATCAATAAACCTTCCAAAATAATAATAAAATATAATAAATAGAAGCATTATTTGATTTTCTAAATATGTTTTCTGAATTTCAAACCATACCATGTGCTGTTAAAGCTGTGGGAATACAAACAGCAATTTTCTGAAAAGTCTAACAATGAGTTAATAATTGTTCCTTAGTCACTGTTTAAATGTTCGCTCTGAATTTCCTGTTTCACCAGCTCATACGGTATAATCCACTGCAACTGTGGAAAAGATTCATTAAAGAAAGGTGACAGAGGTGACAGACTTTACAATCATTAACAAAGTCATCCTCTTGACACAATGAAATCCAATCTGAGCTGTAATTGAACACTTCCTGGTTTAGTTTTAAAGACTCCATAATGTCAAGTGTTAGCTTTGAGGTCATCTATATGCCAGTGTATTCCTAAAAAACACTTTGCAGACACAGGAGTTTGAAAATGTCATTCACTCATGGCAAAAGCAATCAAAAATACTGATGACCTATTTTGCGCTTATGTTTTTATGGCTTAATGATCAAAACAAAACAAATCACCCAGCTTAAATTTTGGCCCCCTAGTCCTTATTACTTCCCCCCACCTTAAGGCCTTAAGTGCATGATTGGTGATGGACACGCAGGAGGTCAGGTCAAGGTGACGGAGTTTGGAGCAGAACTTGCTAAGGCTGATGCAGGTGGAGTCCGTGATCTTGGTGCAGCCGTTGAGGTTCAGATGTTCAATGTTGCGACAGTTCTGTGCAAAAGTCCTGTCAAATCAAATTAAACCTCTCATGTTAAACTGAAAAACTAAACACTAAAAAAAGTGGTAAACATCACCATGGACAGTGCAAAACAACAAATGATCCTTACACCATTTTCCGAAGCAGCCGCAATACGACAGGTTTCCAACGACAAGCCATTTGTCAAAGCGAAAGCTAAACTGCTGCACAATCCAATCAATCAGCTGTTTCGAAGATATTGATATATAATGTAAAATTACTTGTGGGACCAAGGAGATTTCATAGTGGGCGGGGCTTATTAGTGGGCCAATCATTTCATAGTGATTTTAATTCAATAAATGTATAATAAATATAATAATATATAGAGATTAATTCAAATAATTTTAATTTCAAAGTGGGCGGGGCAACCTCTATTCTATTGTAAAATAGAACCCACTAAAATTCCATTCAAAACCTAGCGTTCAACTTAACACCCTATCGCTCTTCCACAAATCAGCCAGTGAGAACTGATGTACTGAGATTGATAACTTTATGTATAATGCATGTTATAATGCCTATCTGTTCATAAATAAATATACCCAAAGTTAGAATGCATTATATTTGCAGATTCCTCGTGAGTTCTGAAATTGTTTGTTTGTCCAGTGTTTTAATGCATTATAGTGTAACTATAATTCGATAAGTATTATAATGCATTATAACAGAGGTTACACTAATTCATGAGATCTTACATGCATTATAAAGTGCATTACAAGGCATAATGAATGCATTAAAATAATTTTATAAAAGGCTTTAAGTAAAGTGTTACCGAAATAACTTTTATCACTTGCTACTTTGAGTTGCTGAAATGCACTCAAGTGTTATTTTATACTTTGATTGGACAGATTCATGAACTGTGCAATCCTTCATTTAATTAACAAAAACTTCTGTGGCTCACTTCATGGAGGCATCTCCCACACTGAGGCAACCCCGAAGACTGAGCTGTCTCAAAAAGCCTCCACATCGCTTCGAGATGTTCTCCACCACACGTCCCTGAGAGAGAGAGCGAGAGAGAGAGAGAGAGCTCAGGAACAGAGGATCAGGGATGACGTTACAGTCTATGGATTCAGTAGAAAAGCCTACTGACCCAGTGTTAATCCCACACACACACACACACACACATAATTTTCAGCACATACAAAGCAAAAGCCAATAACACACAAGATTGTATCTGCAAACACAAACCAAAACATTTACTTTACACACGCTTTTTCACCTCAATATCCGTCTGAAAGTTGAAGAGATCGATCTTCTGCCAGTTGCTTCCATCTAAAGCGAGAACATTCCAAGCCTGTTCATGAGCAGAGAAAAGGAGGAAGCATTGTTTCCAAAATACCTTAATTCAAGACCATTTTGTTTCATTTGAACTAAACAAGCACTTGAACATACCTTGGAGACTTGAGCACACCGGCACAATGTAACTACATCCAGGTAGGAGAAAATCCTAAAAAAAAATAAAGAGAGAGATTTCTGTTTTACTTCTTCATTATGTCTTTTTCCTCTCTGGCCACTGTAATGCTTTGGCAGTACGTACCATACATAAAATATGTAAAGCAATCAAAAAATGAGAGAGAGAAAGAAACAGATAGACAGAACAATAGATAGACAGATAGAAGGACAGAGATAGATAGATAGATAGATAGATAGATAGATAGATAGATAAACGACAAATAAAAAGAATGATAGACAGACAGATAGATAGAATGACAGATAGATAGATGACAAATAAAAAGAATAATAGACAGACAGACAAACGATAGATACAGATAGATAGAATGACAGATAGATGACAAATAAAGAGACAGACAGACAGACAGACAGACAGACAGATAGATAGATAGATAGATAGATAGATAGATAGATAGATAGATAGATAGATAGATAGATAGATAGATAGATAGATAGATAGATAGATAGGATAATTTACTTAACTTATTACAATATAATTGACATTTATTGCAATAAAAGTCATTCATTATGATTGTCTCACCTGAGCAGAAGCTCTTTGGGAAGTTTTTTGTTAATAAGGGCCTCATCACTGTTTGAGAACACCTGGACAATGTGAAATGAAGCAGATGCATTATATAAGCTAGCTCATACAGGACCAGTTACTCATGCACAATCAATATGCTCAAAGCTGGTTCAGACGCGCCTCGCCCTGGTGCAATTCAACGCTTAACACTTGCACGAGGACAAATAACATCAGTGAGCGTCTTAGATAACACACTGCTGCTTTGTGAGATCTTCTCAAACCAATCAGCTTGATCTAAACTCCCAGAACAGCAGCCAACTCGAACGTTAAACGGATTCATGCGCAACGCCCGTAGCTGACACGGTCAGCTGGTGCCGTTGTGTTAGAACGGGATTACCCTTGACGAACAAAAGCCTTAACACGGCACGTAAAAATAGAGCCCTGCTCGGTCTAAAACACACACACACACACACACACACACACACACACACACACACAGTACCCTTGCAGATTCACACACGCGCGGGCACGCACGCAGTCAGCCACTCACGCGCGCGCGCGCCCACCAACACAAACATACGCTTAAACACACTGTCATCGCTCAGACAGCCTGCCACCGCCCGTTTTTGTTTCCTCGGACAAACTACAACAGTCCAACAGTCACGTCCACGGTTCGCTCGATATGAGTTACCTCAAATCTGCCCTTGGTGATGCCGTTCATGTCTGTTGCAGTGTCAATAATAAAGACAGTCCTCGGCGAGCGCTGCGCACAGCGACGTTTGCGCGTTTTGTCAACTCTGGCGATCAAACTATCGTGAGACAGACGCGCAGCTGTAACGTGTGGCCTTCTAGCCGTTCGTGTACGCGCTGGTAACCGGAGGAATCCCGGGCTGGCCGCCGTCCGTGAACCATCACACAGCCAAAATAACAATAATAACATGGACGGAGCAGACTGCTGCTCTAACATCACTTCCGCCTCCCGAGCTGCCTCTCTGACTACATTTCCGCTCGAGTGCAAATTCCTGCCTTAAGTGAGTGCTGCTTAATCTTTAAACCACGCCAATCATATGCAACAACTGTCTGGGAAATAAGCTTGAAGAATAATCCATTTTATTAGCACTGGAGCTAAGACGCGCTCGTGCGCTCTAGGGGTTCAAAACAGTGGCTGCCGTGACGTCACTTTTGCGGGAAAAACACGCGTGGTGGGTTTGTTTTGATAATGATGTGAGGTCGCATAGGTGTGTCGTGGGTAATGCACAAGTGGAAGTGTAGGGAATGGACAAATTGCATATTATTCATACAGATAGTTCTGTCATTGACAATATTTTTATGTTTAATCTTGAGTTATCTTTAATCTAACACACATAAATCAAAGTAAAACATTTCCACATTTAAAGGGATAGTTCGCTCAAAAATATAAATATTGTCATAATTTACTCACCCTCATCTTGTTCCAAACCTGTATGAGTTTCTTTCTTCTGTTGAACACAAAATAATATATGTTGAAGAATGTCAGTTATCAGACAGTTGATGGACCCCATTAGTATTTTTTTTTTCTACTATGGAAGTCAATGGGGTCCGTCAACTCTTTGGTTACAGACATTCTTTAAAATATCTTCTTTTGTGTTCAAAAGAAGAAAGAAACTTATACATGTTCGGAACAAGATGAGGGTGAGTAAATGATGACAACATTTACATTTTTAATTATAAAACCTTTTTTAATGCCCTGCTTTATAAGGTTTCGAACAACATCAGATGTTAAACTGAAGCATTACCTGAGATTGTTAAACATTAAATTCAGCCTCAGCTTTTTCAGTTTGACATTTGATTAGTTTATAGACAGATTCCTGTCTGTGTTTACTCAAGCAATCTTCAGCAATGCTGTATAGGTCAAAGATTATTTCAGTCATGATGACTTCAGAGGTCTAAATGAAATTGTATTGCATAATTTTGTCTGAATAAAATACATCTGAGTAGTTCAGTAATACTTCAGTGAGGTACACATAAAGTAATACTAATGAATTATACATTTTCTACAGCCATGCACTATTATTAACACAGTCTGGTTATTATAAAATGCTAATTTCTGTGCATGAATGTGGAATGTGTATTTTTATGAGTTTGAATTTGTGTTTCTGTACTGCACTATTCCTGCGTAACAACAGCAGAGGGCGAGAGAGAGCCGTGTTGCAGGTGAGTTTTGATCTTGCATGGTTCTCATTGTAAATGGTCTTAAATATTTTCCAGTCATTATTCAGTTATCCGAACATGACGTGTTCAGCAGGCCAGACGACTAAAGAATCAAATTAAAACTTGCCAGGCTGCGGTTACAGAACTATTTCTAAAGAGTTGGGCTCTTCCAAGTCTGATCGTGTCCAAATGAAATATATTTAACACTAGGCCCTACTGCTACTCTACAGGTGTGGCCGTCCAACAGAAGCCACGGTGTATTCCAGAAGGTTGCTCAGAGTAATCTCAGAATCTCTCTTGCATTGACTAAGGTTAGTGTCCACCATCAGGCACTGAACAATAATGGTGTGCATGGCAGGACAACAAGATGCAAGCCAAGTACATTTGCCAAAGGCCATGTGAATGAGCCAGAAGACTATGAAAAGAATGTTTTGTGAAAATGAGTCTGAAATAGAACTGAATAGCTTAAATGTGAAGTGTTAAAGCTAACAGGGAACTTCTTTCTCAGTGCTTTGGCTATCGTTCTGGAAAGGTTCTCATGAAGTTATGGACAAATATGCTTCCAGTTATAATAATAGAATGTTGGTTCAACGTTTTAATAACGTTCTTAAAACATTAGCACAAAAACGCTATTTATGCATTCATTGAATGTTTTTTTTACTTCCTAATCTACTTACTTCAAAACGTTCAGAGAACATTCCAAAGGAACGTTCGCATAATGTTTGCAAAATGACTGAACATTCCCTCAATAACGTTTGAGAGGTGGACTGGATGTTTTTTTCTGAAAGAACCTTTTTTAACTTAATTGGATCGTTATCAGAACGTATTGCTTTGAGCCTCTTCTTGACCAGGACGTTTGTCATCATTGTTGAAGCTGATAAAATATACAATGTAATGTTTTTTGTTAAACGTTTTCTAGTTATTAAAATTTAATAAAGTAGCCTCTCAGTGTAGGTCAAATGTAAGCTTCACGGTTTTATCTGTGTGTGTGCCGGCTTTAAGCTGTAATTGTTTGGCTAAAGCCTTGACTAAATAATAAGGTAAGGAATTTAGGATCACGTACAGCTCTGTTATTGAAGGAAAAAACATTAAAAGCTGTTCAGCCTGCAATGCATGCGCTGACCACAATCTTGCCATTTACTCACTAAAAAACAAACATACTTGCTAATTCACACACTCACTATTTCTTTATCCAGCATAAAAGCCTTTACAATTGAATGAATGTGAGTGGGAGTGTGTATGTGTGTGTTTGTGGGTGGTGGTGGGCGAAAACACCCATTATGCTTTCACGTCACATATTGCCCAACGGCAGCTTCATCAAAGTTAATGTGTCCTGAGGTTGGCCCCAAGAATTTAGGACACAGGCACAGTTGGTTTTGTCCTACTCGTTTTGAACTGACATGCAGCCAGGCGCGCTATGGTGACGAGACTCACCAAAATGAAGGGTCCGGTCATAGTGAAGAAAAAACGCATTACACGGTGGCAAACTTTCCTCTGTGCCAATGAAGCACAGACTCCCCACGGCACTGGAACAGTCCCAGTGCTTAGAGCCTCTGTTCTCATGCGGTACTGCACAGGTTCTGAGTCATGACGTATTTACTGACAACGCCGTGCGAGTTTTCGCACGAGCGCACCAGCAGCGCGGTAATGTACTTCATGGTCAGATAAACCTCGCCTTGCATCTCTGTCACTGCGCCTATTAGTTCTTTTCTCTCGCTTATCGGAATCACCGGGCCTGTCCGCTTGGAGTGCGCAAATCAATTGGGATTTTTCACATTTCCTGTCAGATTTGGAAAAGTTTTACCGTTTTCCATCCACTGCGTTCAGCCTGTGAGAATGAGGAGCGCCTGTCACCGAGAGCTCGCGCTCCCGCTTCTGCTGGGATACCTGGTTTACCTGACGCGCGCGGAAGGTAGGTTTCTCTGGACGATCTGGTAATAGTGTCATTTGTTTCACGCGCCTCTGCAATACGCATTTAAGCGAGGCAATGAATGGACGCATGCGTGTGTCCAGCTTCCAAAAGGTTAGACAGTGGTGTGAGTGTTATATTTGTTTTTGGTGTGTGTTTAGATGCATGTTTGTGTGTGTGAAAGGGAGGGAAAAGCTGAAATTAGCTAAAGCCGCAACTAATTCCTCTAAATAACAATTTAGTCTAGGTCAATTACGTGACGCACATTGTTTTTGTGTTCGTTCTATTAAGTTGTTTAAAATAGCCTACTTAAAAAATTCCGATTGACCTGAATAAATTCATGTTATTTTTTTCAATGCAGTTTAAAGTTAAGAAACATCTAGATTTTGTCTGGAGGCTAACACCTTTATATAAAATATTTATAGGCCTATTTATTTAAATATTTATTAAAATAATCACGTAAGCATACTTTTACATTTTTTAAAATATAAACAAAAAAAGTTAGCTAAATTCAAAGTCAGTCTGGCATGTCCAACATGCAAGAAATTTTGTTTTCATGTGACAAAAAACAAAACATAAATCAGATAGATGCTTGTCATTAGTGTTTTGTTTTCTCAAGAAAAAATCTCACTTTTTAATGAAAAAATTGTAAAATGTAAAAAAAAAAAGTCAAATGAAATGAGAAACTGATTTTGCACAGTGACAACTTGGATATTTGAGTTGACTCAACTTAAAATTTCAAGGTCAGCATGAACACTTTTTTAAGTTGAAACGACTTATTTTTAGTATGCGATTTCAAACACAAAATTAAGCCTCCACTCTGTTTGTCCCATTGTTTTCAGTGAAAGATGCTCTTGCAATGTGTTTCGAATTTGTTTCCCCTTTTCTCACACAATATTCATGTTTGATGTTTGTAGAGTTCAAATCCTTTAACTAAAGATCCAATTCCCTTAATGAATTTCATGTGCATCCACCACAAACCCCTGATATCTTCACATCAGCATAACAGACTCATCAATATGACACTAATGAATTTGTAACAAACGATTGATAGATGACAGGTTGTTTGTGGTTGGGTCAGACTTCTGAACATGACTCAGAATGGATTTACCTCACTGACACCAACCTGATACCGTAACTCTTTAAATGGATCCCAAATAATGATGTTAACTTTTGCGTATTTATGGAGGTATGAGATACTTGAATGCTTCTAAAAAACGCTGCACGTTTGATGATGTGATCATATAACTTCAGTTTAATTTTTATCTAATAACTCACAAAGACACTGAATCAGAGGCTGTGAAAGTTCAGAGAGTTTACACAGGAACTGACTCACTCAAGCTGCTATTTTATTTCCTCTGTGTGAAACTGTGTCACACTAATGATGTAATGAAGTTTCCTTATGAGAGATTTGTTAAGATTTGCTTGTTTACATCATGTGTATGTGTGTATGATGACTTTATGTGTGTGTACACAATTAAAAATAAAGGTTTCAAAAGTTTTTTTTGCAGCAGTGCAATAGAAGAACCATTTTGGGTTTCCCAGAGAGGCTTCAGCAAACAGTTTAACCAATTTTTCGTAATTTATAAAATCGTTAATAATAATCTAAAGAAACCTTTTCCACAATAAAAAGTATTTTGTTCATTGTAAAGATTCCACGGATGTTTACGATTCTTGGAATCATCAATGGCATTATAAACATTATTTTTTCATGGCCAAAAGTTATAGGAAAGTTGAAATCTTCACCCATTATTTAAAATGTGCCATAGTGTCAAAATGAGTCAAATATTAATAACTGAATATGTTGTAGTCAATATATGCTTTTTCCTGTGAGCTTTAGCAAAAAAAAAAATATATATGCATAGCAAATTAAAACCTGTAGCTGTTTGCTAAATAATTACGTCAGATAAATACTTTTAGTGTTTTGTTCTTCCCTCATATTTGATGGTTTAATCAAACTTGAACTTTTATCGAATACATTTACATTTATTCATTTAGCTGACTTAGCGACTTACAATTGCTATATATGTCAGAGCTCGCACGCCTCTGGAGCAACTAGGGGTTAAGTGTCTTCCTCAGGG